AGAGTGGGAATAGGGAGAAGGTGGGGAGGGTAAGGGTGGATCAGCGGCGATTAAGTGGGGGTAGGGGGGAGGTGGGGAAGTGTGGAGGTGGAAGTTGAAGAGAGAGATGAAAAAAAAGTGCGGAGAAGGAAAAGATGAAGGAGAAGCAAAGAAGAAGAATAAGTTGATAGAGAGGGAGGGAGTCAGAGAAGGAGGGAGGAGAGAGAGAGAGAAAGAGAGAGAAGAGGACGGATGAAGGGAAAGAGAGAAGAAGAGAGGGGGACGGAAGTGGTGCAGTTTCTTATCCATGTATCTGATAGGGTTGCAAAAATGGGTTGTTTAATATCTGGATAATGATGGAACGAGGACGAAAGAAGATGATAGGCGTGATAACAGAAGAGGAAAAGGGACTTAACCTGTAAGGGCGGTGGAGGGGGGAAGGGGGGGGGGAGATAGAGGAAAAGGAGAAAATGGAGGAGGTAAGGGAGAGATAGAGATAAACAGAAAGAGTAAAAGGTAGACGGTTAGATAGACAGATAGATAGATAGATATATAGATGGATAGATAGATACATGGATAGATAGACAGATAGACAGACAGATAGATAGATAGATAGATAGATAGATAGATAGATAGATAGATAAATAGATAGATAGATAGATAGATAGATGGATAGATAGATAGATAGATAGAGAGAGAGAAAGATATCGAAAAAAAAATAATAGAAAAGAAAAAAAGAGAGAGAAAACACAAGAAAAAACAGAGAAAGAGAAAATAAAAGACAAAGAGGGAGAGAAAGAAAAGAAAAGAAAAGAGAGAGACAGGCCAACCACAGAAAGGCAATTCACCGAGTACACAAAACGAAACGCAGAGAAACAGAGAAACTCTTTTGCAATACGCGGCGGCGGCAAATGTCACAATTAAGGTTTGCCCACTTGGTGAAAAGAGGGGAGGAGAAAGGAGGCGAGGGGAAGGGAGGGGAAGGGAGGAGAAGAGAGGGGAAGGGAGGAGAAGAGAGGGGAAGGGAGGAGAGGAGAGGGGAAGGGAGGAGAGGCGATGGGAAGGGAGGGAAAGGGAGGAGAGGAGAGGGGAAGGGAGGGGAGGAGAAAGGAGGCGAGGGGAAGGGAGGAGAGGAGAGGGGAAGAGAGGAAAGGAGAGGAGAGGGGAAGGGAGGGGAAGGGAGGGAAGGAGGGAAAGGTGAGGGGGAAGGGTGGGGAAGGGGGTGAGGAGAGGAGGGGAGAGGCGAGGGGGAAGGGAGGGGAAGAGAGGAGAGGAGAGGAGGGGAGAGGAGAATAGAAGGAGAATAGATGGAGAAAGAGAAGGAAGGGGAGGAGAAGGAAGGGGAAAGAGGAGAGGAGAGGAGAAGAGGAGGGGATGGGAGGAAAGAGGAGGGGTACGAGAAGGGGGGGGGGAAAGAGAAAAGAAAAATATGGAGAAGGGAAGGAAAAGGGATGGGAAAGGGAAGAAAGGAAAGGAGGGGAAAGAAAGAAAGGGTATGAAAGGAGAGCGAAAGAGGGGAGAGGGATAGGGCTAGGGATAGAATACCAGGGCAGTGAGACAGGGTTAGGCGGGCTAGAATGGACCCTAAGGTAGGGAGGGAGGGACCCTAAGGTAAGGTAGGAGGGACCCTGAGGTAAGGAGGGAGGGACCCTGGTGTGGGAGGGACCCTGGTGAGGTAGGGTAGGGTAGGACGGGGGGGGTACCCAAAAGGGAGGGCCCCCAGGCACGGAAGGGGTAGCACCAACCCAGTACATTGTGTCGGCTGCCCCTGTATTGTCCAATGACACCCTCTCCCCGTAAAGTTATTGTAGTTCATGACAGTGTTTGGACGTGTGCGGAGGACCCCCCTGTGGGATACCCAAAGGGGGGGCACAGGGGGAGGAAAGGGAGGGGGATTGTGTGTCGATCCAACACATCATCACGTCTATACATCACACAAACACAATGGCATGGCTACACACACGCCTCACTGCATAAATAAACGAGAATATGCATAAGTGCGTGCATTCATTGAACATGTACAACGTCCGTGTGTATGTATGTGTGTGTGTTTGTGTTTGTGTGTGAGTGTGTGTGTGTGTGTGTGTGAGTGTGCGTGTGCATGTGCGTGTGCATGTGCGTGTGCGTGTGCGTGTGCGTGTGCGCGTGGGTGTTCGTGTGCGTGTACGTGTGCGTGTACGTGTGAGTGTGAGTGTGAGTGTGCGTGTGCGTGTGTGTGTATCCATACATCCATACAAGAGTACAGAGAACCACTTAAATGATCCAAGAATTACATAAAAAAAGCGATTTATCCGAAAGATTTCTCATAGTCGGTTGCCGAAAGCTGTAAATTGAGTCTTGTTAAACGCAATAAAAAAAGATCGAATTTGTCCTGTCGTTATCCCGAGTAACATTTAAAAGCCACTGATCTGAGACGGAGAAGATGCGCCCTTATGTTCCCTTTACCGAGAGACGCGATCCTCGGCTGGGTAGAAGAATACGCTATAATGATTTTCCTTTTTTTGGTTCTTTTAATCTCTCT